CGCGCGGCAGCGATGCACACGTACAGACGCGCTCACCCCGGGCGCAGGGCCCGAGCTCCGTGACTGCCCCGCAGGCGGCCGCCCGACCCCGCGCTGCAGCTGCTGGCACACCCGCGCGCCCCGGCGCTGTCCCCCGCCCGGCACTTACGTCCCACTCGTCCCACTCCGGGAGGCCGGCGGGGTCGGCGCCCCAAGGGGCCCAGCGGGCGGGGCGCCATCGGGCCGGGCGAGGGCGAAGGTGCGGGCTGCACCAGTCCAGCCCGCCTGCCTGCGGAAGATGGCCCCGCTGCGACTGCTGCGGCCGCGCCCACCCACCCAAGCCCGGCCCCGCACTACAAGCCCCACAATGCACTGCCGCTGTCGCGACAGGCCGCCTGCGACCCGGCGATGCGGGTAGGGGGCGCGGGTGAGCGCTCAGGAACCTCCTGCTCCCTCGCGGTGCAGAGGGGAGCTGTGCTGCTGGGGGCGGGAGTCCGGGATATGTGCCACCATCTGCAGATGCGAGGGTCAGCTCACGGCGTATCCCTGTTCCCCTTACGACCTCGCGGAAGAGGAGAGGAGGCCCAGGGTCGCACCACAGTGCAGACCTCGGGGAAGAAATTGAAACAGACGCCTGGGATCACAGTGCGGTAGGGCTGAGACGGGACTAGAACCTCGGTCCCTGACTCCCAGCTTCTGCTGAAGTCAGTATGGTTGGACCCGACCACCTTGTCCTCAGTCACCCCAGTGAGAGCCAGAACATCAGGTGTGGCGCGGGGAGGGACAGGAGAAATGGCCCGGGGAATAGAAGTCCTTTAGCACTGCCCAGACCAGCCCTCTCACCAGCAGGCCATGGGGCTGGCCCTGTTCTCTTTTAACGATAATAATAATAATAATAAAAATCAGAACAACTAACATGCTGCCCCTACCTCCGCATTTAGTCCTTACCTTGGAGTTGAATATGTTCCGTTCGTTTCATGTATTACATGTGCATCAGTATTTTTGGTTTGCAGTAATTTACACGAATGGTAACATACTGGTATCCAGAGGAGAGAGAGAACATCCATCAGGGTTCTGACACTGCAGTCCTCCCCTAGGCTCAGTTGGTCCCAGATCATGGGCATAGTCAGGGAGGGTTCCAGACAAACTGGGAACATCAGGGCCAGCAGGTGGCGAGGTGGTTAAGGCACTGGATTCCCACATAGCCAACTGCGGTTTGAGTCTTGGATCTAGCAACTTGAAAATCACTCTGGGCACATGTGCGTGCATGCCCGAAATCCGGGGAGAAGGGACTGCAGTGGCACACATGCCCTATGGCAAAACCCTGAAAAACCCCAAACAAACAACTGGGAACCCTCCCACCTGCAATGACTTCACAGAGCCTGTTTGCGGCAGTGCCACCCTCTGATCCTAGTTCGGTTTCTATAACCTGACAAGGTGCTTTTGAGATTTACCCAAGTTAATACTCAGAGATCTAGCTACCCCTCTACTGCTGCAGAGTATTCTCTTGTGTGACTATCCACGATTTACTTTTTTTTTTTTGAGAGGTTTTCACTATAGGGCACGTGCGCTTGCCAGAAAGAGAGAGACAAAGAGACAGAAAGTGAGAAATCACCCCCTGGGGGGGATGGCCACACCACAGTTCCTTCTCCATTCTCCTCTCATGATCTCGGGCACGCATGCACACGCACCTGGCGTGTGTTTAAGCCACGGGGTCTGGGACTCAAGCTGTGGTAGACTACATGGGAGTCCAGCGACATAGCCATTACACCAGCTGCTGGTCCCCACAGTTTACTTTTTTGAAAAGAAGTTCATTTTTATGTATTTCTTCTGAGAGAGAGGACGAACCCCTACAGGGTCTTGGTGCTGCGCTACGTTCCCAGCTCCAGCCCACTCTGGATCACGGACAAGCAAAGGCCCTGTATACTTAAGGACGTTTCTGGGTGCAAACTCGGAACCTCCCCTGTGGGTTAGCCTTGCAGAGTGTTGTGTCTCAGCCTTGCCACCATCAAGCCAGCCCCCACAAATCCTGTTCCTAAAACAGGATCCTGCTGAGCAGGTGTGGATAGCGGGTGACTTCGTGCTGCCCCTCCCACGACTGTCCTCCCCTCCCCCTTCCCTGTGGATAATGCTGCTCCCAGTCCAGTCCTGAGACTCCTGAAAAAGCTACTATTTAAATGTCGAAATATCCTCTTGACCCCTTGGGGTTTTTCAAGCTGGAATAGAGAGCTAGAGCCAGTCTCCTTTTGGCGGGAAGCCAGGCTAGAGCGCTGCCAGCTGCCGTTTTCCCTGTAGGCACTGAGAGAGAATGAAGACAACGCAGGTGACCAGAGAGAAAATATGAGCCTCTGGTTTTAGGTGCCCGTGAGTGATGTCATGAGCTAAGCGGGAGGACTTGGGTTTCTCTCTTTTCAATTAAATGAGTCCTGGCTAATCACTTTACCTTCACATTTCCCCCTAATTTTTTCAAACCTACAGAAAAAATTTAAGAATAGCTTAATAGGAACCGCTAGATGGTGTAATGGTTAGCTGGACTCCCATGTAGTCGACTGTGGTTCGAGTACCAGACCCAGTGGCTTAAAACTCATGCCAGGCATGTGTGCATGTGTGCCCAGGATCCTGAGAGGAGAATGAAGGAGAAGGGACTGCGATGTGGCTATCCCCCCTAGGGGGTGATTTCTTGCTTTCTCTCTGGGGAGCACACACGCCCTAGAGCAATGAACACCTGTAAATCCTCCATCTAGATTCACCAGCTACTAATGTTTTGCTTCATTGATTCATCTCTATCTCGTAGACAGCAGATTGCAGCACCTTAACCACCATACCATATGCTGCCCCCAGTAGACTCCTTTTATTGTGGTTTCACCATCTGTGGTTTTTCACTTGTGGTCAACCACAGTCCAAAAATATTAATTGGAAATTCCTGAAATAATCAGCCTATACAATTAAAATTGCACACAGTTCTGAGTAGCATGATGAAACCTCGGGCATCATGCTCCATTCTGCAGGGAATGTGAACCACCCCTTTGTCCTGCGAATCCACTCTGTGTGCATCACCCAGCCATTGGTCATTTAGGAACACTCTCAGCTGTCAGATTTCCTCTCTGGGGCTTTTGCCATAGGATTCATGTACTCACTGAGACAGACAGACAGAGACAGAGAGAGAAAGGGAAAGTGAGAAACCCCTGAGGGGGATGGCCACGCTGCAATCCTTTCTTCTTCATTCTCCTCTCAGGATTTTGGACATGCACATACACAAACCCAGGGTGATTTTTTAAAAAAATAATTATGTATGTAATTTTATTTATTCATTTATTTATTCTAATTTGGCGGTGGGGGTGGGGGAGAAAGCAAGCCACCAGATCCGGGACTTGAACCCTGGTAGGCCATGTGGGAGTGTCCAGTGCCTCAACCACCATACCACCTGCTGTCCTGCCCAGGGTGATTTTTAAGCCATTGGGTTCATGACTCGAAACACAGAGTTGGCCATGTGGGATCCAATGCCTTAACCACCACACCCCCGCCGGCCCTATATACTTTTTAAAGTTAACTACTTATTCCATGAGTAAGAGACACAGAGAGCCTGCTCACCAACAGGATCTTGAGGCTGCAACCTAACCTCCACCTCAGCCTGTCCCGGATCAGAGGCACAGCACACTCAGGAAGTCTCTGAACTGGGCCTAGAACCTTCTCGCCTGGGCTGGGCTTGCAGAGTGTCATGTTTTACTGCTGTGCTACCATCCAATCCCCCAAACGCCATTACACTCTGATGCACCGGGGCACGCTGATGAACTGGGGGTTCAATATAGGAAATGTGGGAGCACATGATTCAGCTGTAAGAGTCAACAACTGTCATCTTTTTTTTTTTAGAAGTATATATTTAATTTTATTTATTCATTTCTGCATTTTAATTTGACCAGAGAGAGACACAGAGAAAGAGAGAAAATGAGAAAGCAAATCGCCAGGTCTGGGACTCAAACCAAGGGAAGTGTTTCGCGCCTTAACCATCATGCCACCTGCTGGCCAAGTGTTTAGCGCCTTAACCATCATGCCACCTGCTGGCCCCAAGAACTGTGTCTTTCAAGTGTATCCAAACACCAAGCACGTGCCCAATGCGAAGTAAGACACAAGAACGGACTTTCTCCTTAGTCAGCTGTCCCAGGCTGGGTCACGCAGGCCCAGTTCCTTCTGCTCTCTGCCCTTCAGTTGCACCCCTGCAGTTCGAGGCTGTGACACTAGCCCAGCACCCTGAAGCTCATTTCCGGACAGACATCTTGCCTCCTTACCACTAGGGGGAAGAGTTGCTCAGCTCTTTCTAACCCCCTGGCCTCCGGAAGTTCAAGCGAAGAAGCTGAGGCCCAGGATGGCCAGCTGCCTGGAATCAGTCAGCTCTCAGCTGGTCTCTCGGTCCCAGCACCCAGCAGCCACGCTACCAGCCAGGCACTCAGCCTGGGTTTGAATTTCAGCTCGGCCACTTCCTGCTTCCTTTGCCAGGGTTCCTCCGAAACTGTTAGTTTTCTGTTGTCTACAGTGCAATGGACCAGGTGGGGGGGTGGGGATCTACTGTGAGACAGGGCAGGTGGCATGCAGGACAGGGGACTCAACTCCATGAGAAGCTCTTCCTCATTAAGGCTGGGCCTTACACACGGCTCTCAGACCCCACCAATATAGAGTTTAACTCTGTGACCAATGAACCAATTAAGCTGCAGCCAGTTACGCTGTCTCTGTACTTGGCTTCTGTTGTCTCTAAGTGCTGTGACGTTCTCTAGACTAGGGCCAGCTGGTGGTGTGGTGGTTACGGCGCTGGACTCCCGCATGGCTGACCGCAGTTCGTAGCCCTAGACCAGGTGGCTTGATAAATCATGTTGGGCGTGCACATGTGTATGCCCAAAGTCCCAGGAAGAGAATGGAGGAAGGGGACGAAAGTGTGGCCCTCCTGGGAGATGACTTCTCACTTTCTTGACAAAAACCTTAAGGAAAAAAAGTCCTCTGGACGTGTTTTGGCTCAGAGCTCTCTGGATTCAAAAGTTTTTTGTTTTTCTTTGTTTTCTTTCTTGAAATGAACTCTACCTGAATACTTGGTTCAGGATTTTTCCTTTTCAACAGTATATAAGAAAAATCCTGGTAATTCTAATTTTTGAGACCACAAGCATGAAATGCCTAAGGATATGGGAAAAGATGATTCAGAAAACAAAACTTTTCAAAAATGAGTTTCCCGGTAAGTGGACACTGTAAAACGCAAGAGGATTCCCTGGTCAGCCGCACACAGCACCCTGCCTGTGGTCTGCCACCAGATAAGAACCCTCCCGGTTCAGACCTCAGAGATCACTTTTCCAGCGCTGCTGCCACTCTGGGGAATAAAGTAGTTGTGTGCAGAACTGGAATCAGGCTTGGCTCAGAACCCAAGCGAGAGTCCGAGAAGGGCACAGGAAGAAGGAGGGTGCCGGAGAAGAAGCTGAATCGCAGCAAGATATCCAGCCCAGGAGCCAAGAACGACGGCCTGACCTCCAACAGCTCACGAGGTGCCTAGAATCAATCAACTCTTAGCTGGTCTCCTGGTCATGGTGCCCAGCAGCCAAACTACCAGCTGGAAGCTCAGCCTGGGTTTGAATTTCACCTCTGCCACTTCCTGCTTTGTGGGCTTCTCCTTTCAGCTGTGATTTCCCCAGTGTGGATAGGAAGCCTCAGCTCACTTGCAGAGATGTGTAAGGGAGGCTAGGCCCTAGAAGAATTAGCTCCCGAAATGAAAAAAAAAAAAAAAATCACCCATTAAAGGAGAACCCCCGCAAAGCTGCCAAGATGAAATGTCTACAGTTAGTCTGTTGTCTGTTGTTTGTGGAAAATGATAATTTTCTCACATGGCTGCTATCTGCCAAGGTCATGGCATAGCTTCAGACCTTGGTACCACAAAAATCAGAGATACTGTTGCTTTAACCAGAGTCAGTTTCAGGAAGGCTTTAGTTTCATGCATTTGCAGATAAGAACTAAATGAGGGGACACTGCTTTCTGACTCTGAATTCGGTTTCTTCCCCTTCTGACTTGGACATGCGGTGAAAGGGGGCAAGGCATCGGTTCTGCTTCCCCAGAGGTTAAAAACATATGGTATGCACTTGCCAGAGTGAGACAGAGAGGGGAAAAGTGAAATCACCCCCGAGGGGGATGGCCATGCTGCAGTCCATTCTCCGTTTTCCTCTCTGGGATTTTAGGCACGCATGCACATGTGCTTGGCATGATTTTCAAGTTGCCGGGCCTGGGGCTCGAATTGTAATTGGCCATGTGGGAATCCAGTGCCTGCACCATTATGCTTCTGCCAGTCCCACAAAGTAATACTTTTAACATATAAATAGCCACAATCTATTGAGTTGTTGGAAAAGTCATGACACATTTTTGTGTAGAAAAACATAGAAAAATACGTCATGCAATTTCCGACAACCCAGTAATTATGTTATATGTAGCTGATTATATAATAGAATTTATAAAAATCTTGGGCTGGGGTCAGCAGGTGACATGATGGTTAAGGCACTGGATCCCATGTGGCTGAGTTTGCCATGGGAGTCCTGGACTGGTGGCTTGAGAAACATGCTAGGTGTTTGTGTGCATGTGCCCAAAGTCCCATGAGAAGGGGCTGCAGCATGGCCAGCCCCCCTGAAGGGTGATTTCTCTCTTTCCAGTAAGTACATGCACCCTAAGGCAAAGTCCAACCAACCAAAAAAAAAAAAAAAAAAACCCGGCCTAATGCCTATAGGTTAAGAAAACCAGATTCCACATGGCTGTGGTTTGACTCCCAACCCTGGTGACTTGAAAAGCACATCGGGCACATGTGCACGCATGCCCTAAATCCTAACAGGGTGAAGAAATGAAGAAGGGATGGTGGCGACCCCCCCCACTGCTCTCTCCCTCTTGCCTTCATTCTGCCTCTCTGGTGAGCACGAGCATCCTCTGCGGGTGGGGAAGGGGTTATACACACACACAGATTTTCAAACTTAAGTGCCATTTCCAGACCAGAGCATTTGAACGCTGAGTCAGGTGCCCTGGTCTGGAAATGGCACTCAAGTTGGAAATCTAAATGTGAGGGACCAGCAGGTGGCGTGGTGGTTAAGGCACTTGACTCCCACATGGCCAGCCACCTTGGAGTCCAGGACCAGGTGCCTTGCTTTCTCAAGCTCTCTTTCTCGATCTCTCTCTTGCGCACACACGCGTGCAAATTCGCACATGTCCTATAGCAAATTTAAAACTACTACTACTGGGACCAGCGGGTGGTGTGGTGGTTAAGATGCTGGACACTCCCACATGGCCTATGGGGATTTGAGTCCTGAATCTGGTGGCTTGCTTTCTCACTTCCTCTCTCTCACTCTCACCCTCTGTCTCTCTCTGGTCAAATTAAAAAATCAATGAATGAATAAATAAAAGTTAAACTAAATTATTTTTAAAAATACTACTAAAAATAAATAAATTTAAATAAATAATTATTTTAAAACATCGGAATGCCACCTACCTACGACCTCCTAGTAGCCCTCCCCAGATGAGCTTTGAGAACAGCTTTGGACCTGGAGCAGAACCGTGGGTAGATCTTCCTTCCACCTTCTCCCAGCTTCTCAGCGTCGTCGTGTCGCCCCAGTTGAAACCCTCACGAAGAGGGCCGCCTCCTCCAGGAGCCAGACTGCTCCTCTCCGAGTTTCCCGTTCCTTGGCAGAAGGGGAATGACGCTGGACCCACACACCCGGGGGAGGCAGGAGCCACTAATTCGAGTCCTGCCCAGCCGAGCTCTGCTCAGAGGGTGCTCCCTGCCCGCTTCGTCGTTTACTGGAAGGACTTCTGTCTCCCTGCCTCAGGGCCACCTCTGTGAAAGGGGAAGACCTGATGACAAGTGCCGGCACTTGGGCCTTTCTGGGCCTCTGGGCCTGGGTCTGAGGATGCCATGCGCCTTCCCTGAGCCTGTCACGGACGCATGCACAGAACAGGCGCCGAGGAAGCGGTGGGGAAGGGTGGCTTTTCTTCTCAAGCTAGGGGAGTCCACACCCGGACCTGAGGCCTCTTCATTTTCAGGGCCCCAAACGGCACGGAGACCTTCCGCTCATGGACTACAACTCCCAGCATGCGTCGCGCGCACCCAGGACCAAGTATCGCGCGACGTGCCGCGTTCTCGCGCTGCTTTATCTCCAGGGCTGCCGGCCCGACCCGCTGCCAGTGTGCCCTGGTTGGTGGTGCGGGCGTCTGTTGTCGCCGCTGCGTTCACCATGGCCTGGGTGTGGACCGCGCCGCAGCCTCTCAGGAGTCGTGGGTCCTCCGAGCCTCTTTAGTGCTGGGGTTCGGGCCGCAGGCAGCTCCGCGGCAGCAGGAGAGCAGGTGACTGGACCGCGCGCGGGCTGGGTCTCCCTGGGCTCGGTCCAACGCCCCGGTTCCGAGCCCTGCCACTATGCCTGGCTAGGGGCCCGCCAAAAACTTCCCCCCTCCCCCTCCCCCGGCCCAGAGCGCGCCCTCGTCTCGCTCGCTCGGCTGGCTGGGGCATCCCCAATGGGCTTCGCCGCCGCACCGGCCGGCCCGGGCCGCACTCCGCGTCCTCATCCGTCTCCCGAGGCGCCTTGCCCTCCAGTCCCGGAGCCGCGGGCTCGTGCCAGGCCCTAATCTCCTTAGCGGTTCTCAGCCCGGGGGAGTGGGAGAGGGGTGGGCCAGCCCTGGCCGCGCAGATCCCGGGGACTTTGTTTTGAATCGCGTGAAGGCGAGGCCGGGATGGTGCGCTCGGGAGGCGGTGGGCGGGGGCCGGCAAGGGGATGGATCTGAGTCGGGAATATTCTCTGGACCTGGAGTGGCAGGACTTCGTGCGTGTTTGCTTTGCGGTGCTTTTTAGGGAAAAGCTAGTTGTTTTGCTTTCCGAGCTCTGTCAGGATGGAGGAGCAGGGCAGCTAGTTGAGAGGCAAGTAACTTGAGTGTCTTAGGGGGCCTCGTTTGAACTCCCTGTACAGTGGGACTTCCCTGCAGATGGGCCCGGTATCTGTGACCTTGGGAGATCATTTATCTCCTCCCATGTTTAGTTTCACCCTCTTAAAATTGGAATGAACAGTGCCCTATTTGCAGCATTGTTGCGTGGGTTAAAAGACAAGCTTTTAGGTTTTGTTTTTAATAAAACACTATAAATATTAGTGTTAGCAGTAAAGCGTGAATGTACCTTCTGTGGTACCCGGCCCCTTGCTATGAGTCGAGAACAGGAATGGGGTCAAGTGCTCCTCAGGGTGTTTTTGGGGGATAGCAGGAGGTAGAAGGGCTGGGCAGACTCTGAAGGCTGGACCAACACGGCTTTTGCTGTCACCAGAACCTCTGAATGGACCCTTCCTGGGAAGCTTTGCGGATTTGCAGCAGCTGGACAATGCTCCTCATTACCATCTGTCTGTCAGCATAGCGTCACGTCGTTTCCCTGTGGTAAGGTGACTTTCCTCGCCACACACAGTGTCTTGGCTTTGTCATCTCACAGGTGTGAGGACCCGCCTGGGGCGTGGTGAGACCTTTGACCTTGTCCTTGTGTTCCCCAGTGCATTGGTATGTCTGTCACCCTCTGTCACCTGTTGGCTCTTCTGTGTCTCACCCTTGTCATCAAGCCATACAAGTGCCTGCGTGAAGAACAGCATCTGTGCTATTCTTTGTGTTCACCATAAGAAAATGTCCTTTGTCATTTTTATTAGGTGGCAGGGCCTCAGCTCGGATTTCTATATAGGAAAAGCACTGGATCCCACTCT